CACACACACACATCATGCTCAATTATATCATGAAACAATCGTAGTCAGGCCTTTCAACACATTATGCATTCAAATATAAACACATTCCATAAAAAATTAGGGACAACCACAACCCGTAAACACGTTAACAACCAACCTCTAGTCTCCTTAACACCACAAGTGCCTCCACACTTATCTCAGCTATCCTAACCTTCCACAGTTATCCCCATTCGAATAGAGTCGGCCCCTGACCATTTATACCCAGAGCCCCGACACTTCTGCATCGGCCCTCGACCATTTATACCCGAGGCCCTGATGACTTCACTGTCTATTGGCCCTCGACCATTTATACCCAAGGCCCCAATAGTCTCTCTTCCAAAGGACTCCTCGTATCGACCCTCGATCATTTATACCCGAGTCCTCGATACTCCATTAGTGACGTATCAGCCCCCGACCATTTATACCCGAGGCCCTGACACTCACACATTCGTTTCCTCCAAGAATCCCTCTATCACCAGAGTTAGAGTTTTAYTGTATACTTTCTTAAGCCACTACCCCTGCATCTTTCAACTCACAAATACAATTCAGCATGCTTCCACAATTTTAACAACTTACTAATAGCGAGATAATAAACCAATCATGCTTCATATCCAACATCATTATTTTAACAAGCATTACTAAGTATAATAATTCAGAACACACGCCGAACAATTTATGCTTATCCAGGCAACCAACATTACCACAGCAATACTCAACAGTTTAGCAAAGCAGAAATCTCACCATTTTCATCGACAAACATCCAACACAACTCCAAATATATCGACTGACACAACGAGAATTATTTAGCACAACGCATAACAAAATTAGCATAAAACGCTACAAATCAGCACGTTAGAGACCATTTAGCATCCATTAACGCACGCACATGCCCCTTGTCTACTTACTCACAACCGCGCCCTTAAGTGTTGCGTCGACCTCACACCTAAGCACACCAAAACAGAAAATACAGCACATTATGTATCCTATTTAACCTTCGAAATCAACTCTAAAAGGGTTCGAATGACGCATTACCACCAAAACCGACTTCGTATGGAGGTGGGTCACCTAGATCTAGCTCGCCAAGGTGTGGGTAGCCTAAATC